GACCAACTCATGTGATGGAGATGTTTTATATTTAGAAAATAATATATCAAAAAAAAAACTCAAGTAATATATTGTATGGATGTGCCGAGAAGTACTAGGTTGTTGGCCACCTACACTAGAAAGACAAGCATGTCGTTATCTGCATAAAATTGAAAGATAGAAAGCACCAATGAGTCATACTTACAAGGCAATGGAGGTTGCCAAGGAAGAGAAATCAAGGAAAAGTATGCACTATTTAGTAGATGCTGAGTAGAACAACCAGTTATATGGGCCCTTGCACGCAACATGGTAGTATCTCAACCATGCTTACTTTTATAATGATCATGAGATTATTTCCAATGGTTGGACCACGGATAGATTCAATATGCACAACATGATACAACCTTGACGTGGAATTCCAAGATCTCATAATAACAAAATTGAATATTGTGCAAATTCTCGATGAAAACTTGGGCCAAACATAACAATAAGATAAAGCTCCAATCTACATCTAGGTGATCGTTGTATTCATCTTTTCATTGAGAATTTATGATGTAAGTACTTGGATGACATTATAAAAATTAGTAATATAAGCATAATATTCCTATGCTCTAAATTCCATAAATGTCTAATAAATGTTGTTGCTATGTAATGTAGCTCTATGGTGGGTAACACACGGGGAAAAATTCAAGCACTTGCAGAGGACAAACCTTCACATGCTAAGCTGACTTCTAGCTCATCTTGTTTCAAGCTTGTTTGAGTTGGTAATTTCTCAAGTTACATTGTCCTACTCCAATCAGTCCTGATATGCCTTATTAGGCAGCAATAACTTGCATTACTATATCTAGGGAAAATATCACTAGAAATGGTGAGAACACCTCACAAACTCAACGAGATGGTTAACTCAACAATATGCCAAGAAAGTGGTTACTTTTTTAAGATTCTTTTGCTGAGGTATCTCCTAAGAATTCTGTTAAGACATGCTCAAATTGCCTCGTTCTGGGTTTGCATCCTTGAATAAACAAGGGCATTTTGGTAATTTAACTCACTTAAACCAAATGACCCAAATACCCTGCTTGTTTTGGTTACCAAACCCTGAACAACGCTTTTTTCATAGAATAATCTTGTTCAGGATTGCAACCCAGAACAAGTGGGTACATTTTGGCAGTTTGGCCCCCCACTTAAGTCGCCAGAGCCAGACTATATTTTGAAATCATGTTCGAGCTGTAAAATCAGGAATAAGTAGGGGTTTTTTTAACTATTTGGCTCGAATAATTTAAGTAATCAAATTACCAAAATGCCCCTATTAGTTTAGGGTTGCAAACCCAAAACTAGAGCAATTTGGGCATTTTTTAACTAAATAGTTGACGAGGTACCTAAGTGAAATGCCTCTTTAACAAGTAACAACATTGGTGGTAATTTAGTTGATTTAACCACTGCATTGATTTTTTTGTGCTTTGACTTTGAACATTTTATTGATAGTTTCCTTTTTCCTAAATTAAATATTCACGCATTATCCAAAAGGCCCATAAGCAAAAGAGAAACAGACTCAATCAAAAGAGACTGAATGATCTTGTATAAGTCTAGCATAATCCATGGTTGACGGAATGCTATCAAAATGCTTTTATATCAACTCCATATTGTGAGGAATATGGATGATTTTAGAAAGTGCCTGGTCAATGTAGGAGATGATTAGATGTTCCATGGGGAAAGTTTGAGATGGGGTCAAGTTCATGAGGTTGCTAGAAGCTTATTGAGCCCTGTGCGGGACACCAAATCCTCAACGAAGAGCTTGAGGACAAAAAAGGAGGACTCTGTCTAAGAGGAGAAGAGGAAGAAAAGTATTGTGTACAGGACAGGGTTAACCCTAATAATAATACCTTGGCATCAGATGTATGGGATAGTGATAATGTAGATGGTGATGATGCTAGTGATGAGGCTGTTGACCTTGATGATGGATCTCAGTTCTTCTTGTGTGAAATTGATTATGTTGTATTAAAAAGTATAAGAGATGTACAGATTACATGTCATAAAACCCTTTTAACAAATTGACTTTCAAAGTCTTCTACAATGGATAACTACAGCTAAAAGAACGCGCAGGCGGGGGAAGCTTTTCATTTGATATTTGATTTCTTGTTTTGTTGTTTTAGGACTTAGGAGTGGGCTCCCAGGTCTTATAAGCCCTGTCTTTGTTTGTATGGAATGTAACTGCGTTTCTTTTTTTCCTTTTTTTCGATGGTTCAGTAGCAGGAATCAAACTTGAGATGCAGCATTGCTGACTTCAACTTCTAACCACTCAATCGCAAAGCCTGATTCCTAAATGTAACTACTTAATATATAAGGCCCATGAGGCTTATGGCCCATAATCCAAAATCACGATGTCGAATGACTGACGTGATTGTTATTTTATTTCAAGTTCAACTTTCAAGTTTGTACAAATTTCAATCTTCTAGATCTCTACTACTTCAAGTTTCAATCTTATAGATTTCTAATAATTCAAGTTTCACAGTCGAGTATGTACACACAAAATGTATGCAAAAAACAGCAAAAGCAAACAAAACATGCTAAAAGTCAAATATATTTTTTATATTAATAAAAAGCCAAACGCCCCTCCCGAGAACACCGACCCCTTCACATTGTTTCTGGGATCCTCTATCATGAGGTGACCACCAAGGCAGCATCTCACGCTTCTTAAAACATTGAAAAAAAGAAAAGAAAATGTAAACCCTTTTTGAATAATAATTTACTGGACATTTTCTTCATCGTTGTCCATCACAAGATGGTAATTTCTAAAGAGATCCGATCTGCTAGATCAACAGCTAACTAGCAAGTGGAAGGAGACAAATATGATGCCTAACACCATATGTATCCAATATGAAATCACGAACTGGCTAGTCAAAGCACCAGCCAGATGTCATAGCACCCTGCTCTTTAGTGAGAATAATAAAGGAATTAAAGCATCCAAGAAATTGCTTCAATTCCAGACTTGTAGTATGTTAGCTAACAGGAGATTCCCCAAGCCATAGGGATGAATGTCATTGCCATCATGATTTCCAAATAAAAGTTAGTCTCCCAAAGTCAGCAGGTCTTTATTTTGAGTATTTTAGATAGTCTTCAATATTCAAAAGGATCCTCCATAACTTCAAAATTTATAATAAGAGCATATACATAATAGAGAAGTTACTGCTGAGCTCAAGAGAATGCCCCAGAATGTCAAAAAGGTTAGTTTCTCCATAGGACAAGACCCAGACGTTAAATACGAAACCACATAATGGTTCTCGAATTCCAATGGCATCCGTGCAAGCCTTCTTTGCAAAGACTGATGGCACCATTTCCTTTTATGTGTGAACTTATGCATGAGACCCTTGGAAGTCACATACCGTAGACACTCTCAAAGTTGACATTCTATTACTTAGAGACCTCTAATACTTGGTGAAACCAACATTATAAATAATTTATAAGCAACAATTCTAAAAATTGACCAAAATTGTAAAAACACGGTGGAGATATAATGATTAGAACGGGTTTAATGTTCTTTCAAAAAATGACTACAAAAGATAATAAATTTCTTAATGTTTGATAGAAATATGGGTTAAGTAACACGAAACTTTACTACTTTATATTTTATTGGTAGGTACTTGAATTTATTTATTAGTGAGGAATAGTGTGTAAAAAATTGTGGCAATCAATTTTCAAGAAAAGGCCCACGTAGCACCTAGGTGTCTCTCCCCTAGCCCTAGATGGGACTCCCTAGTGGCCATGTCCCTGGGCAAGTGCCCAAGCACCAGGTGTCGCACCATGGTGAACACATTCCACCTAAGGTGATGCCCACCTCGGTCTCCCCTTGCCTGTGGGCACAAAACAATTCTAGAAGTTTTAAAAATCATCTCAAACCTAGCCTTTTCCGTTTAGAGTATGGATTCATTATGACCTATTGAGAGAAGTCAAAAGAGGAAGTTTTACTGATTTAGAGTATGACATTCATCAAAAACACTGAGAGTCAAAGATCAGACAACAGAAGTTAGTTAAAATATCTCTATTTCAGATTTCTTCGTTCTTTCAAAATGTCTTCTTTTAAAATTTCTTGATGAGACTCGTAATTTATGTGCTATGTATGTATTGATGATGGGAACAGCATATTCAATACTGTCTTTTTTTTTTCTATCTACAATACGTCACAAACTAACATTATAAATGGTAGTCGTATGTGCATCCAATTGTTGAGTGGGATATTAGTACACATATCTGTGGCTGGATTACAAATATTCCCAAGTTGTATCCCAATTTCCAAATTAATGTTCATATCCACTCGATATCTTGGGTCGATAATCCAAGAGAATAGAGAGATTGAGGAAGATATCGAGAATAGAATTAGAGCTGGGTGGGCAAAGTGGAGTTGTGCATCCAGAGTTTTATGTGATCACCGCATATACCAATGAAACTGAAGTTTTATAAGACAGTTGTAAGACCAGCCATGCTATATGGGATGGAATGTTGGTCAAGAAACAACATATCTATAGGATGAATGTAGTTGAGATAAGGACGTTGAGATGGATGAGTGGCAAGCCAGGAAAGGATAGAATTCAGGATGAGTACATATAAGGGAACTTAAGGGTAGTTCCAATAGGCAATAAGATATGGAAAAGTAAACTTAGGTTGGCTAGCCACATGTAGTGTAAGTCTAATACAAGTGCAACGTAGGTCAAATACAACACTAGTTAGGAGGGGCAATTTGGTTCAAGTGGAAAGCTCTAAAACAGGAAGGGGAAGACCCAAAAGGACATGGATGAAAGTAGTGAAAAAATATATGGTGACTTATGGTCTAACTGAGGGTATGGCCCTTGATAGAGCAAATATCAGAATAAGATTTGTGTAGTCGACCCCCAAATAGTTGGGATAAAGCTTGGAGGATGATGATGATGATGATCCACTCATATTAGTGCAACTCAATATCAAGCTCAAGGCTTCATAGAAAGAATCAAACATGATTGGTTGTTTCAATACTTCAAAATTCCATATACCTGGAAATGGCCAACTAGGCGCCTGTATTGTCCAAAGAGGTAACCCATTTCCCTTGGTCCCACACCCATGTCTTCTGCTGGAAGATCCTAATAAAAGATGAAACACATTAGACATAAACTCCACTAGGAAAACGAGCAGATTCAGGTAATCTGTGACTATTACATAAATATGACTTCACACATTCCCCTTACCTGATTGGGACCCAAATACCGGTAAAGCTCTTCCATGAAACTCTGGCAAAAGCGCATGATCTGTTGACAGTAATCTTATGTACTCAGACGAGAAGGGACCTTTCATGTGCAAAATATCTTATCAAGGAACAAAAATTTAATTTCACCAACAAAATTAAACGAAACAACTAAAACCTCATTTTCAGATTTTCCTTTAGGATCAAAATCACTTCCTCCTCCGGCACCTCCAAGCTTGTATGGTGATAGAGCGTTTCTTAATGTCTGGATGGAGGGAGAGAGAGAGAGAGAGAGATTCTCAATACGAAGTCAAGAACAACAACTCATAAAACGAATATAACAGACATTACAAAAAATTCTATCTACTAGATAATCTCCATATTAAACCAGAGAGTGTAACCAGTACAACAAAAAACATCAAGGTACCAATAATAAAAACAAATATTTGGCCACTACATAGAGTTATTAGTATCAACGTAAAATCACATATAATGGCCACTACATAGAGCATCAGAAAATGGCCACTATAGAAAGAGATTCTGCACATTCACCAATAGCCCAGTTCATAAGGAGGAAAGAACAGATTTGAACATAAAGTCGATAGGGATATGCATACAGCCACGAAGGTTGGGCCCTTGTCATATAGAAATTTTGCAGGAGGCGAAGAAAATGTATGGATGCTTATAATAATTCTATTTACTAGATAATCTCTATATTAAGCCAGTAAGTGTAACCAGTAAAACATGAAACATCAAGGTACCAATATCAAAATGACTATTTGACCACCGCATATAGCAGAAGAAGATGTTTCTGAAGTTAGGTAACTAGTATCAACATAAAATTACAGATAATGGCCAGCATAATGCCCATTATAGAGATTCTGCATGTGGCACCAATAACTCATGACATAAGGAGGAAAGAACAGGTTTTCGAAAATAATGTGACAGGGATATGCATCAGTCACAAAGGTTGGGCTCTATTGAAATTCATGCTTGTCATATAGAATTTTTGTGGAGAAAATGGACGGATGCTTCTCCTTGTATGCCTCCTCTATTGTGATAAAAGGAAATCCTGGGCCTTTTTTTACAAATTGTAAGAAGCCAGGGATATGCTGATCCATTCCCAGACACATCTAAGGATTCATTTTATGACGAGTCTGATGTGATTTTGGTTTAATAGAGGGGTTTACAACTGCAATTGGAGTAAGGTTGATCTCATGTATCATATATGTTCTTCAATTGTATCATTATGTTCTTCAATTAGCAACCAAAGCCAGTAAGAGGGTTCAAGATTACAACTTAAAGACCATACATATCCCACTATACTAATAACAAATCCTTCCTGGTACCACTATTAGCAAGCGCATCTTCCACCCCGTCAGCCTCTCTAGGAACATGACAAAAAGTAAATTGCTAATCATACAATAGAATCCAATATCTCTTAAAGATCCTCAAAACTCCTTCCTTGCCTAATGATCACATTAAAACTATCTCCCCATAGCCAAGAACAAATTAAGACCATCCCTTCCACAAATATATCCAAACTAGGAGACCTGCATTCAGCAAATGAGGCATCATATATGCTAAAAGTGCCTGAGGAAAAACATTGATCCCTTACCATTCCTTATGATGCCACCTATGACTATATAACTAGAATTATAACATTCTAAGTACTTTACTTTAGAAATATAATATCTTTAAAGTTTACTTTACAATATTGTCAAATATGTAAAATAAAAATTTCTTTTTCTAAAATATGAATATCATAAAAATATCAATAAATAATTGAATTTATAAATTTATTTTTAATTTACAAATTAGTAATTCTCTATATCGCTCATTCCAGTCCCTATCAATGGGGGTATACAATTGGCTTTCCTTTTGCAAAATCTTTAATAGTGGATTGGTTACAGCTACAGCCCAAAAGGAAGGTAGTTCAAAATTATTGAATCTCATCGTAATCGTCATTTTTGAGGATTGTTCAGAGTAAATTCATTGGCTTGGACAAGCCATTTAGTTCATGCCACTATTCTCATATCCAAGAGTAATACGTTAGATGGAATAATTTCCTAGAAGTATTCCTCATGGGTTGGACCACTTTTTACAGGGCAATGGAATCCTTATGACCCATACCTCGATTCCGGTGGTCATTTATTCAATAACTCCCAAGAAGCAAGAACTGCCATCTAAAACCTTCATGGAGATTCCATCCTCAAACTCAAAGTTTATGGCGGACTGATATTGCTCACCATCATTTTCCCTTCT